TTCAAATATTATTATCTATAATTTTTGTGTTTTGTCAAAATTTCCTGAAATGGTCCGTATTCGAGAAATTTGACAAAATGTGCAAAATTCTGATTTTTATGAAAGTTTTTGAAATAAAAGTTGTTTGCGATATCGATCTCTATAATTTTTGTTTATACATGATTTTTCTAAAATGGACCGTAATGAAAAAATTGTAAGAAATTTAAATTTTTCAGTATTTTCGTTTTCCATGAATATCTATAGAAAAATGTTTCGAGGTAGATGTATGTGGACAATGTATATATTTAGTTTATCCTCTAAACATTTATAGAGATGCTGCAATAGGTTTTAAAAAATAACCGGAAAAAGCCTATAATAACTAGATAGGAAAGTCATGTGTTGGACACATCAGATTTTGTATGTTGGTATCGTTGGATAGGCAAATTTATAAAGAATTTTATGCTAAAATAATATACAGGGTATCGTATTTTAAAAAATTGAGTAATTTAAACTTTAAATTAGCCATATTTAAATCATGTTTCAAAAACTATGTTTAAAATATTTCAGTTCTATCACCACTATTCGTTAGCTTACTATCTTAGAAGTCTGTAATTTAAACAATTTAAAATCATTGTAAATCTAGCTAAATTATGATAATTTAATTTGTTTGGCAAACATTTAATATTAAAAAAATCCAGAGTTGTATATAATGTTACCAAAACTGTCATAAAATATAGTGTGTTCATTTTTAAAAATATATATGTTTATTTGCCTGGCAAAAACGCAACACCCTGTAAATCCATAAATATTTTTAAAATATGTATTTTTAAATTGATATTACGGTGATTGTAAACATTTTTTTATATAACCTCAATTTTCTTAAAAAACCTCTATTATTATCTATAGCCATGTTGCCAATTTTTTAAGTGTCTGTATTTGATAAAATATCGGACAAACGATAATACTATCGATGGTAATGTACGGCAATCGAGTGTCAATTCCATAAAAACTATTAATTTATTTCGTTTCCTAAAAAACACTTACTTATACATTTAATTTTCAGTCATATCCTGCTATTTATACATTCATTTTGATTGAATTGTAGAACATATTGACTGAATATTAATATTACATCATGTCTAAAATACTTTTAGAAAACCTTTAAACTTAATTACTTTGTGTAATCCAAAAGTTTTTAAACTTTTTTTGAAATATAAAATTTATCTTATTATGCATTGTCAACCAATGTCTTTAACAAATTAAAAGTATAGCTGAATTCGTTTAATTTCTGCTGAGTCAGCCTTGACGTGACGTCACCCCCTGGAGGCTTTCAACGATTCACCCAGAACTCATTTAAAGTATACATGGATAGAATACACCTTTTTTATTATATTTGTTTTTAAACTAAACTAAAAGGTATTTCAGATATTCAAAACATTATTTTAACCGGAGAAAACATTACAAACATCCCAAAATTACAGGAGTAAGTAAAATAGGTAATAAATTTAAATACTGCCGCCATGTTATTTAAAAATATTTTTCAAATTACACATATTTGAGAAATTTTACATGCTACTTATAAAGCCGGGCCCAGATCAATACATTTTTGTGTTGAATGTTGTGTGTTGAATTCGACAAAAATATTTGCGGCGCAAATATTTTTTTTATTGTGATTTTGTCTCGCAAATATGTGCGTTGTGTTGTGTATATATTGCGATCCATTTTCGTGCGTCGTGCGTAGCATTAATTGTTATTGAAATAATAGTACAAACTAAAAAAACATTTAAGTCCACATTAAAACAAGCACTCGAGGGTCGTTCGACGCAATTTTCTTTGAAGTTGGCAGAAAAACCGACAAACCGGTGGATAGCGTGTACTGCATCTGGCGCAAATATTTGCGTGTTTCATTGTGCGGCGCACAGTCCACATCTAGAAATATTTTGTGAACACGAGCAAATTTTCGTCAAATACAACGCATAACGTAAATATGTATTGATGTGGACCCGGCTTTAGATAGTTAGAAGTCGAAATTTATGTACAAAGTGTACAAAAGTAAATGCAACTTACTAATAAAATTAAATTTCTGATAGGCTCACAAAAAAGTTATTATGAAATATATTGGCTTGGTCCTTATTCCAAATTTAAGCAATAATATATTTTTACGTACTGTATTAAACTTAAAATAAAACTTAGAAAACTGCACTGTGCTAACTTTATTAGCTTGAAAAAGGGGTTTCTATTAAAAAATAATCCGTGTTATTTTGAAATAATAGTGCGCTTAGTAAATTTCTAACTGACTTATACCGATATAACTTGATTTATTTCATAAAAATTTATTCCAAAACTATTTTTGTAAATCTATTAGAATTCAAAAAATAAAAAAGTTATGACCGACGTTTTGAAACTTACGCTCGTCCTTTTTACATTTAGACCATAAGAGCACGCTACGCACGTCCCGCCTACGTCCTAACCGCTACAAAAAAGAGCGAACGCGCTCGGTCGACGTTTCAAAATTTGCGCGCGCCTATTTCGAAACGACGACCGAGCGCTCAATTTTCCCACCTACATCATAAGGGCAAGTTACGCTTCTTCCACTCACGTCCTAACCACTACAGAATACAACGGGTGAAGTCAATGAGGTGTGAAAAGACCGTTGGTGGGACGAGCGTAGTTCTTATGGTGTAAGTTCTCGCGTGCGCAAAATTTCGAAACATCGGCCAGGCGCCCTCGCTTCTTCCTCTAGTAGTAAGGCCGTTGTTAGGACAAACGTAGCTGACTCTTTTTGTGTAGGTGTAAAAAGGGCGCGCTCGCTTCTTACTCTAGTAGCAAGGCCGTTGTTGGGATGTGCGTAGCTGACTCTTATGGTATAGGGGCACGCTCGCTTCACTCGCTCTTTGATCTAGTGGTAAGACTGTTGGTAGAACGCGTTGGTGTAGGTGTAAAAAGAGCGCTCTCGCTTTGCTCGCTCCTGCCTCTAGAGCCAAGGCCGTTGGAGAAACAAGCATGTTATAGTGTAAATGTAAAAAGGATGCACACAAATTTCAAAACATCGGCCAAGCGTGCTAGCTTCTAAGGTAGTTGGGACGTGGTTGGACGAACTTACTTTCATGGTGTAGGTATGTCAGAAAACGTTTATATTTTGTTCATGAAATAAATCAAGTTATCAATGCAAGTCAGTTAGAAATATATCAAGTGCACCATTACTTAACTTTTTTTGTAAACTTATCAGGAATTTACATAATAATAAGTTAAGTTACTTTTTGTTCACTCTGTATATAAATTTCCACTTTATCGTGTCAAATTTCTTGAATATAAGTTCATTAAAAAGATGTTTAGAGAACCATGGGCATAGTATTTAAATTCATTACCTTCTATTGACATATTTATTTACTTCTATAATTTTCAGATGAGTTAAATTTTCTCTCTGGTAAAATCATCTTTTAAATATGTGACATATCTTTTAGTTTAAAAATAAATAAAGTAAGACGTAATTTAAAAACAAGGTGTATTGATGTACGTTTTAAATGGGACGGCTGAAAGTTTTCAGGGGTGACGTCACGCCGCGCCGGACTCAGTAGAAACTGAATTAATTCGGCTATCGTCTTTAGTTGATATAGTCATTGACTTTGGTTGACAATTTATTTGTCAGATTAAATATTTTTTCTTCCTACCCAAAATTAGTATATTATGCAACGATCATGTAATGATGGTTATTAATACACGAGCATTAACCGGGATACGAAACGAGCCAAAGGCGAGTTTCGTATGGTTTATGCGAGTGTTTTAATAACCATTACATGAGAGTTGCATACGCTATTTTTTCTACACCCGATAAATAATCAAGACCTATAAATATTATATTTATATTGGTATTGAACACAATAACAGTAATTACTCGTATTTCTATAAAAAATTCTACAAAATTGTAATTAATGGTATTACTTCAGGTATTGGTATTTCCCTAGATTTTTGCGGTAAAATATTTTGTACTGTATTTTCTGCTTTCTCCGATATGTGTGGAGGAGTCTTCTATATCGCTAATATCAGACATTTTAATATTATAATTATCGAAGTTTAGCTACCTACGAAAATTTAATACGTTTTGACAACTAAAATAATTACATAGGAACCTAGGACAAACGTCAAACAGCATGCTTGATTGAAAAATTGTAGGTTTCTATTGATTAAAAATCTGTATCGTAATGAAAAATCTGTATCATAATGGGTATCATATGCATATAAGTGCATTATTATAATACGGGTGTAGAAAAAATTATTTTTATAACTTTATAAATGAAGTAATATTTAGTTAATATGTATAATTTAATTAAAATGGATAAAAAAATTGCTGGATGTGACTGGAAATTAAAAGTTTAGTTTTTTAGGAAAAACAACGAAATAAATTAATAAAATTAGTGCGTTTTAAAGTGATTGGAAATGTTACGCCAAAAATAAGATACTTTGTGGGGTTTCCGGTAGTATGTTTAAAAACATCTATTTCTCCTTATGCTTAAAATGTAACTATAGAAAAATTGAAATAATAAGAAAAATATATATTATCAATAATTACCTTTTCATGCGTGATATGAACATTGTTTTAATATGTATTTGATCCATAAAAGTACCTAATCAATTCTGTTAATTAATAATCTAGATTTTTTATAAATTGAAATGTTTGGCAAGCTTGCTTATGATTTACACGAAAATCGAAAAATCTTAGGTTAGAATCACCATAATCACCATTAAGTTTTAACTTAAATTTCTCTGTTATTTATGTGTAATCCGCGATTGTTTTTTATTATTTTATATATACACTTAATACTATTTTCTAGTTATTTTTTTTTTTTTAAATTCCCGTGTCCATTACGTTTACAGGCACCGATATTACTTTACGACATGATTTGCTATTTAATTAAAGTCCTTTATTTTAAACAATAACTGGATTTCCTTAAAAGTTAGTCTAACCACAAAAATACTTTTTAAATAATTTCTTATCACGTACAACTTAAATAGTTATTTACCTATAATTTCCTCCAGACTTAACGGAATTCAACTGTCTCATCACTATTCTGTTTGTCTTTGGCTCAAAAAGTTTGGTAAGCTCTCCCACTCTCTGCAGACTTTCGTTATTTTCATATAAAATTACAAAATTTTTCCATCCCCACGACACGATCAAGTCGTAATAGGTCTTGGTGAGTGTATCTGGATAGGGATGTAAATTTACTAATGTTCCATTTTGGGGGTAGTCGTCCCATCTTACCTAAAAATAATAATAAATAAATTAAAAAGTTTTTATCGTATATAGGTTTTTCAGTTCATCGAAAACATGACAGACTGAATTGGTTCCAGGAATATAGTTCTAATTAAGGATTGGTCTTTTCAACTTCAGATAAAGTTCCAGTTAACTAACTAACGGATATATTATACGAGAGTTACTATCGGACCAAAGAGGTAAGAAAGGGGCAGAGGTAACATACGAAGCATTTGCCGGTGCGCGAATTTTGCCAAAACCGAAAAACTGGGTGGAAGGAGTAGGGAGATGTTCTATGCCGGACTTAAATATTTGTATTGTAGTACCTAATTTTGGTAGGTAACTAAAAGATAAAAAATTATTAGACGTTTTTTTGACTTTATTTGTTAGCACGATTTATTTATGATGAGGGTAATAACACTTTATCAATATATAGCTAGTAGCCTTAGATTAAAGAGACCAAAGATGTAACATTGCACACTGCGCATGTTGTCTATTTTAAGCCAAAGTAACCCACCAATTGAAAATCATTGTTGCACGACGCCACCCGAATTGCTCCGATTTCCATTCAGCGATCACACCTCCACCTGAGTTTAATCACCATTGACAGCTGTTTTTTGATTTATTTGTTGGTATTTTAGCAATTTAAAGTGTTCTAGTTATTCAATTTCAAGTTCAAAATGTCACGATGTATCTTGAAAAATTGTATGTACTTATAATACAAGTACTACTGTTATGAATATATTCGTTTTCAGCGGTAAATATTTATTAACGTTTTGACATAAAGCGCCATGATTCTCTGGGCTGAATACTTCAGATCCGCATTAAGGGGTTTCAATAAATATTAAGCATCACAAACTCAGATTTCATATTACTTACATAAATTTACAAAAGGGTAAAATTTTGAACATTTAATTTAAATAAATAGTAAATAGGCATTATTGCTAACGAAATTTTGTATTTAAAAAGTAGTTTTATAAGAATGTTTTCTAAAGGTAGTTTTTATCCCTTTTTGATAGATAAATAAGAGGTAAAGAATCATAGTTGCTAGCTAAATTTTATTTTTATAAGGTATTTTTATAAGAATATTAGATGAAATACAGGATGACCTACTTAAAATTTCAAGGTTCATCTTATTTGCGGTCAAATCGAAAGTGACATTGAATTTTCAGTCTTAAAACAAAGTAATCTAGTATAAGCAAAAAAAAATACTAAAGTTACAGGAGTTAGGTCCGATTCCACCGTTGTGTTAAACGGAGATTAAAATGACAGTGTTAATGTAAAAATATCATTTTAAACTTCGTTTAACACAACGGTGGAATCGACCCTTAGTCACGTTAATAAAATGTTACATTACAAACCCCTAAACAACTCGAACATAATTTTCGTTTACTAAAAAAAATCCAAAATTTAGCAATATTTATTTATTATACAAGCGAATGCGATTTCAAAGATAACTGGATCAAAAAATCCGAATCTCTAAATTTTGGAGCTAAATGCTCAGATAAAAGCAAGCGACCGATAGGGGTTACAAAAATAATCGATTTATCGATAATTCTGATATTTTTTAATGAAAATCGATTTATCCGCTGTTTTTAATAAATTATTTTCGTTTTTTTTTTAAGATAATGTATTAATCGATTTTAAAGAAATACAAAAAAAGTAGATTTATTCAAAATAATCGATTTATCTTTTAATCGGTTTTTTAATTATTTGATTATTTTCGATTTTTCCAAGATATTATATGAAAATAATCGATTGAATATAATCGGTTATTTTACAAAATCGATATTTTGGTTATTTTTTTTAAATTATCGATTTATTGGATAATCAGCTTTTTAATAATCAATTATTTTCGATAATCGAATAATCAATTTCAAAGGAAATATGAAAAAAGGATTATTAAAAAATAATAGATAATTCGTTTTATTTTTTGGAAAATCGATTTATCATAGAATCGGCTTCTTAATTAATTGGTTATTTTCGATTAGGCGATTATTTTGGAATTATTGATTATTTTTGATATTTCAAAGATAATCGAATTATCGATTTTAAAGGAAATACAATAAAAATAGATTATTGATAATAATCGATTGATCGAAAATAATCGATTATTTAAAATAATCGATCATTCTGTTTTTTTTAAATCGATTTGTCAGTTAATCGACTTTTTAATTAATCGAATATTTTTGAAATACAATAAAATAGATTATTGGTAATAATCGATATATCATAGAATCGGCTTCTTAATTAATTGATTATTTTCGATTAGGCGATTATTTTGGAATTATCGATTATTTTCGGTATTTCAAAGATAATCGAATTAACGATTTTAAAGGAAATACAATAAAAATAGATTATTGATAATAATCGATTGATCGAAAATAATTAATTATTTAAAATAATCGATCATTCTGTTTTTTTTTTAAATCGATTTATCAGTTAATTGATTATTTTTGATTAATCGATTATTTTCGATTTTTCAAAGATTATCGAATAATCTGTTTCCATGAACGAAAAAAAAATGGTTTATTTGAAAATAATCGATTATTTAAAATAAACGATAATTCTATTTATATTATATTTTGTAAACACTGATTTATCGGTTAATTGGCTTTTTAATTAATCGATTATTTTTGATTTTTCAAAGATAATCAAGTAGTCGATTTTAAAGGAAATGACAAAAAATATATCTTTTGAAAATAATCTATTGATCGAAAATAATCGATTATTTTCAATTATCGATAATTTATTTCGATAATCACTCATCCCTAGCGACCAAATGACTTTTAATAGATTTAAATTTTAAAATGTTATCTGGTTTCAGATATATGCATTTCTAGAGTTTTATGTGACTCATCCTTTATAATAATTAATATTCTTAAAGAAAGAAGCCTTAATATACTTTTTCTGAGGTTACAATACAAAACAGCATTTTCTCATTTTGACTAATTTTTAATAATATGTAATAGCCGTAGAAAAAATATAATGTTCAACTCATAAGGGTAGATTTGCAGTATTAGCCTGCGCACATGCTATTTTTATATTACTCGTAGACAATGAGTAACATTTTTTGCTCTATTAACAACATATTCTATTTCAACATTTTACTGTAATCTCTTGCAGAAAAGTCCGTAGTAAATAAACGCTAACGAAATATTCTATAAAGGGTCTTCTCTTTACATAAAATGTCGTGGCATCTGTTTGATATTAAAAAATCACGATAATTTGATTTCATAATACAAAATTCGATTAAACACCTTTTAAATAAACCTAATAGTTCATTAAGATGCTAATAAACAAAGTCCGGTCCCTGTCACAGAGTTCGGGTCGCCGCGTGTCGCCGCCCAGTTCCCCCACTCTGTTAACCCTTCTTTAGAAATTGACAACACTTGCGCAGGTTTAAAACCGGTGTATGTTATATCTCTGGTCTCTTTTATCTAAGCTAGTAGCTAAGGGCCGATTCCATCGTTGTGTTAAACGAAGTTTAAATTACTAAACGAAGAGTAATTTAAACTTTATTTTTTGTTAATATAAAAATGTAATTTTAATCTACGTTTAGTATTTTAAACTTCGTTTAACACAACGGTGGAACCCCAAGTAAAAGTTTATAAAATTATCGTAACAAAATAGCTATTTGTGTATTAAGAGCAGAAAGTATTACTTTAGCTATTGAGACAAAAAGTTATTGAATTACACAAAAGATTTTTTATGCGATAACTTCAAAATAAAATAAATAATAAAATTTTATTAGAAATGGTTTACCTTTTTTACTTTCCTATCTGTATACAGATATAAGGAAAGTATAGGAATCATGATTTTTTTCGACCTCGAGTTTTCGACGGATTTTTACGTTTTAAGGTCCCCTGAATCCGTTTTGACTATTTTCGCGATGATGTCTGTGTGTGTGTGTGTGTGTCTGTGTGTGTGTGTGTGTGTGTGTGTGTGTGTGTGTGTGTCTGTATAACGCATAACTCATGAACCGATACACAGAAAAACACCAAATTTTAAACTTAAGCTTTGTTTCAGCGTCCAATGAGCTGATTAGATTTTGGGCAGTGTCGGAACATCTGGGGGGGTACTTTATGGGTGGTCATTTTTATATTTTATGGAATATATCTGTTATTTACGTTTGGAGAAGAAAATTCTTCAAATAAAAGTTACTTCTAATATAATTATCTATAATTTTTGTTTTATGCAAAATTTTCCTAAAATGGTCCGTATTCCAGAAATTTGACAAAATGTAAAAAACATAATTTTTTATAAAAATTGTTCAAATAAAAGTTGTTTATAATATAATTCTCTATAATTTTTGTCCTATACATAATTTCTCTAAAATGGACCGTATTCGAAATATTTGAGAAAATGTGTAAATTTCGAAATTTGAAGAAAACTCAAAAACGGATAAAGGAAAAAACATTAAATTTTAAACTTAAAGTTTATTTTGGCCTGACGTGAAATGATTAGATTTTGGACAAAGTCGGAACATCTGGGGGGGTACTTTATGGGAGGCCGTTTTTATATTTTATGGAATATATCTGTTATTTATGTTTGGAGAAGAAAATTGTTCAAATAAAAGTTACTTCTAATATTATTATCTATAATTTTTGTTTTATGTCAAAATTTCCTGAAATGGTCCGTATTCGAGAAATTTGACAAAATGTGCAAAATTCCGATTTTTATGAAAATTGTTGAACTTAAAGTTGTGTGCGATATCGATCTCTATAATTTTTGTTTATACATGATTTTTCTAAAATGGACCGTAATGGAAAAGTGCTAAATTAAAATTTTTCTGTATTTTCGTTTTCAATGAATATCTATAGAAAAATGTTTCGAGGTAAATGTATGTGTAAAATGTATATATTTAGTTTATCCTCTAAACATTTATAGAGATGCTGCAATAGGTTGTACAAAATAACCGAAAAATGCCTATAATAACTAGATAGGAAAGTCATGTGTTGGACACATCAGATTTTTTTTATTATATTTTAAGTTTATTTGACGTAAGC